AGACACTGTTTTGAAAATTAAAACTGCAACTTTCAATGCCTTTATCAGTTCGCTAGAGCACAAGATCAAGACAAATAAATGTGGATGTAATGGATTTAAAAAAGGAATAAAACGGAAGGCAGGACAAACAAGAACAAATAGAAAATCCGGCGTGGTTTGCATTTATTCGACATGACAGAGAAGCTATTGTCATTGATGCAAATTCAATTCATGTAAATTATCTACGAGCTAATGAGGCAAATTTTGTCATGTTCACTGTTTCCTTTCGTTGGTAAGCTTCGGCTTTTTGTTTCTGGTTGCTAAAGCCGTTAGACATTCGAGCCATTCATTATCTCAGATTTTGTATGTGTCCAAAAGCTGTTTCCATCCACCAGAGAATTACTCCCTAGGAAGAGCACTTACGCGGTTTGCATGCAGATAACCGTTCTAAACCATCCGTTAGTTTATCACATAAATGTTAAGGTATATTTTCAGTGTTTTCCCATGTATAGTGTAATTTTTGGGGACTGGTGAAGCAGGTTTGTGACACACAAGGAAACTTCGTCAGTTATCACGATGCCTCGGACAACGTCACCTCGCTGAAACACGACTCCATATTTTCCACAAAGATAGAAGCAAAATTCACTTTGTCGTTGCATAGACCCAATTACAATACGACCCTGAGTCGCTTTGAGTTGCCTGTTAACACACTATTCCTTAAGTCCATCCACACAAATTCTCCACACAAATGATAGCTTTTTTAACCTGACAGGTAATAATAGTCAGTAATCCCTGAAAATGCATATGTACATGCATTATTTCGCTTGAACCAACCACTTAACAATATCTCGATTAATGAATAAATAATTCGTGATTTTCGCCCTAAAACATTAACAGCTCAGGCCCTGATGTCTATAGAAAATATTTCTTCATTGTATTTGTCATCTTCAACATTGCATTTTTGCTCTAATTGAAAAAGTGTTACTTTAGATATGGAAACTTAAAAAAACCAGCGGGTGTAGATAAAAAAAAAATTCTTCAATCAGATTGTTGCCAAAAAATCAGCTTTAAGAATTTTTTTAACAAGGTTGATTCGGTGCACTCATTCCTCGATCAAACGTTACAACTTTTCAATTTTACTTTTTTTACTTTTTAATCAGACGCGTAGGATTCGTGCATTTCAATGCAGAAGTCAATCAAGATCGAGGAAGAGATCGAGGAAAACCTTTTTTTACAGGTCCTTGGATAGTAAAATTTAAAAGTAAACGAACTTGCTTGATCTTGATCGTCTCTTAATCGTACTCCACTCTCTTTTGGTTTATCAAGACAGGAATAAAGTAGGAATAATACCATAATACGCAGGGAATGCATTGCTAAGATCAACCAGTTTGGTGTGATAAGCATCATAGTAAAGGAACTGTGGAATTGAAAGGAATGATTATTTCCTGTAAACAAGACTTTAAAATTGTTTACATTCTCAGATTTGCTGATTTTAGTTGAATTCAGTGCCTGATCTGATAACTAAGTGAGCTCATTTTTTTTTTTGTTCCGATAAAAGCTGAGTGAGAGAGAAAACAACGGAAAAACTGGTGTATATATATATGTCCTTCTAGATTTAAGCAAGTTTAGAGTCCCTTCTCAACTTATTAACATTCCCCGGATTTTCATTCATCTCACGCAAGCAATATCGCTCCGCAACTTAGGCTGGGGTAAGGGAGCAGTCATTATTTCTCGCCTGTGGCGGGGGGGAAAGAAGAGAAGGAAGATTTTTTTAAGAGAACAGGGGTGGGTTGGGGTCAGTCCTAATTGAAGTGGTGGATTCAATTAATTACCCTTTTGATGATTTTGTAGTTGTTAGCTTTGTTTCTTGTTCAGGGGGCTTATGTAACTTATGAACTGTTTTCAAAAATAATATTCAAAAGTTCCAGCGAGTTTTTATTTTGGCAAAAATTACGCAAGTTCGAAATCGGCCAAAATGTACCTAATTTGCATAATTTCTATCGGGCTTTCAGTGCATTTTCACAACGCTCGTACAAGACAACGACAAATTATCTTGGATTCAATTTTTTATAAGTTGTTTTTCATCCCTTGTAATAGCTTTCCAACTATATTTCATCTCCAACAAAACTTTCTTTCGTTTGTAACCACCCGCGTAAAGTACACTATATTTTGTATTCCGTTTGTACGCTGAATTTTGCCATATTTCAGACGACCATAACATCGGGGGTATACGAATGTACATAAAACAAAGGAGCCCTTTTCAACGAGCAATTCTTCGTGTTTATCATGTAAAGATATTATTCATGGCCCGTGAAAAGCGAGCGCGCCAGATCACAATATATATATAGCGTGCATTTTCACGGAGTTCAACCATTTTCTTTGCTGTACTTCTATTGCAAGTCACACGCTATTGGGACAAAACTCGACGTGTTTGGTCTCTACTTCTGTTTCGACTCATTTAAATATATCAATTTTAACTTAAAATTACCCTTATGTTATTGTTACGTGAACAAACCACCGTTTTAGGTAAAGTTTTTTAGTTTATTTTCTCGAGTGCTAAATAAACAAATCGCTGTTTACAAAGATATCAGCTCTGTCGACGTGTTTTTAGCTGAAATTGGCCTGTCGCTTAAATTGTTCTTTAATTTACACTCTATCCCACTGGCATAACTTTAGAGTAAATTACATGTAACTATAAATAAATAAAATCTCCGTACACATAAAATATTCGAAACATGAAGTTGTCGCAAGAAAATACTCGCTTTTACAATCTTTTGCTTTTTGACAACGAACTGACAGTGGTGAGGGATTTGGGGCCCATGTGATAAATAAGTTCTGCCGAAGTTTATCCTCTAGTCAGCACTTCAAGCTCAAAAAGGCAATTAGGAAAATTCTCACCGAAACACAGCAACAAAATAAGATAAAACCGAAGATTATTGAGGCAAGACTATAACCGTTGTTAAGACACATGCCTACATATCATGTACAACAGACTTGGAGAGCAAAAAGGCTAAAGACAGTTGTGGGCCATGACTTGGAAAATCCATCTCAACTTCCCAAAAACGAAATCGCCAAAGGTCGTAGTAAGAGCGACTCAGCCCTGAAGTTGGAACATTTTTTTAAAGCCTTGTGTTCTATGTGACTACAAAGAGAAAGAAAAGACGACGTTATTTGAAGTGATTGAAGCTTGGGGGTCACCTCGAACTTAACGCAATTTTATTCCAAAGTTGAAAAGTTGAAGTAAAAAAAGATCAAATTCTAAACTACCTTCTATTATCGTAACGAATATCTCACGATCGTCTCCACATACAACATCTTAACACTAACCTTCAAGGTTTGTTGTCTCATGTGCACATCTGGATCGTCAGTAAATAAATGCATACGCAGACGAAATGCCTCTCTGCTCGAGAGTGATATCTTCGTTAAATATGGCGACTGCTGTGAGAGCGGGATAAAAATATAACTCCCAATATCCCTCGGCCATTTCCAGTCGCTCGTACCCAAATTGTTGAACGTGTTTAGTTGTTGAACTTGAAGCTTTTATACCGTGTTGGTTTTGACGTGATTCGCAAGGGCTGCAGACTAGGAGAATTTGTGTTGATGTTGAGTTACTTTGGTTGTTGGATTTAATGTGTTTGGAGTGTTGATATTGATATTAGCGGTTAAAGTTGGACAAATTTTATCGTTGACCTCAATAATAAATGTTGATGCTGGCAGCAATTTGATCGGTTGAATTTTGCACCATTACGGCTTCCATAGGACCTGTCTCAATCCGATTCTCTATTGACTTCTACTTTTCCACCTTAAAAAGAAATGAACATAAAATAAAGCAGTAGGATAAAAATTACTTATTAGACGTTTTGATGCGTAGTATCGTTGAGCATTTTTACTCGTTATTTGTATTTTGACTCACCTTAAGGGCTCCTCAAAGAAAAGCATAACTTGTAAAAATATTTGGCGATCTTACACGCCAAAACGTCTAATAAGAGAGATGTCAGTAATACGTGCACGTGGGCATCCATAACAATATACATGAAAATTAGTTAAACCTAGTAATTTCCATGCGCTCAGTGTCCTTAACGAATCCAAAGCTTGTTCCTAGCTGTGTTGAACACCTCGGGGCATTATTGTTCATTGCTTCCGCTTTATTTGTGCTTTCTTTTCTTTCTTCCATTCTGTTATTGCTAATACTTCTTTAACTTTTTTTTCAGGTTTCGAAATCATTTGCGTTCTGGATAAATTAGCTGAGAGTCTTTGATCAACGCCGAATCTTTGATAACTGTGTGCCATAGGAGTCAAAGAAACCAGCTATTGAAACATGTGAAACATGATCTTTGGTGAAAACGAACCATAACCTCAAGAGAAAAGTTAAAAAAGTAGGAAGGGGATATTTGGCTTGTCATGTCAGAACTTATCATACAATAACTTCGTTGCAAACTTTCTTTTGAATCTTTGCATGCATATTAAGAAAAATAGCATGGTTGACGAAAAATAATTGTAATGGTTCTTTACTCTGGTCTTGCGCAATAACATCAATCACAGCAGGAAATCACGCTTGACTTCAAATAATAGACCTTCTATAAGCCACGGTAAAGGACTCCCGTTTTTTGCCAATTTATCGCGTGTTGAATGAAATGGAAGCTAACTGTTGTGAGAAAGCTGGTGAATCGCTATTTTATCGAGGAAGAAGTCATTGATATATTTGGTGTGGAGTTACAGCAATAATTAACGTTGTTTAACATCCTTTTGTTTCAAGGAAAACAGGAAGAACATTCCAATGTCATTACGCAAGTCTACGAACAAAACTTTAATTTCTGAGAATCTGAGATCAACAAGATTTCAAACGGAAGCAAAGATAAGCTACGTAACTGCAGTTCGAGTTCGCTTTCACTCTTATTTGTTGGAGCTGTTACTGTAAGTTCTCGTTCTTGCTCTTGAAATTGGATTTCAGGTCATTGTAATAATTTGCAATTCAATAACCTCTTAATATAACAGGCAATTCAAGTCACTTCAGAAACATCATGTACAAATGTTACTTCGGTTTGGGTTTCTTTGCTGGCGTGATAGCCTTGGCATTTGCAGACGACTTCGCGACTGCCCGAGAAGAGATCGATAAAGTGAAGCCCCACATTAACTACAACACTTTCTGCGCTGAGACGTCTGAAGGAGAAGACAAGATTGCTTGCCGTATGAAGAGTGTATCCAGCGTAGGCTTTCTTGTCTGCCAGAGGCCTTTGTTCGGAGAGAAAAATTGCTCGACAATTATTGACGAAGAGATCGATAACTTGCAGAGAGTCCATAAAGAAGGTAACGTTACGATAGTCCAGATATCGCCTCCTCCGATCGATGATGTCAGATGTGGAAAAGAATCTAGTCTAAACTGCACTGGTTTTCTTGAACACTGGGTGGATCGTAAAGAGGGACAATTCAAGCAGGTTCGAGACCATATTTCTGAAAATAAAATACAAGATCTGATTGAGGCCGTAAAAAATTTCACCATTACAGCTGGATTAGCGACAACAGCCGCTGATCTGTCAAAAATCAAGAGTTACATGATGGAGAATCCAAAGGAAAACCATTATCGTCAGATATGCGACCTTCAAGGATTTTTCATGGTAAGTGGAGGCTTTTTAGTAAACGATGTCCCTGACATACTGACAGGCGTGGGCCTTGACGGAGTTTGCTGGGATGGCGAACCAACCACACAGCAAGTTCTCAAAGCTTTGGATGATATGATTTCCGCTTTTGGCCCAAAAAACGACATCGTCGGTAACAGAAATGGAGATCTCAAAACCACCGAGCCCCATGTAAATATAAAAATCATGCTAATCATAAATGTTGTTTATTGCATTTTTGCCCCTTGATAAATAAAATGGTTTGACAAAGGGAAAGTTAGAACACACGCACCGCGTAGCTTTCAGTGATTGTGACTACTTTAGAAACGAGAAGGGCTTGGTTACGAGTTGTTTCATTAGTTTGCAATATGTCATTACACTGTAATTTGGACAAATCAAAAAAGATGGCGTATGGACCAAAGGAAAATTGTAGAATTTGAGAAATTATGGGGCACACACCGATAGCTTAATATGACATTTTGCTAGGATTATTTGTCCATTAATTTGAATTAGTTAGGTTTGCGTTTACCGGCGTAATTTGATTTTTCAGCGTGTTACTAACCTGGTGATTGATTTAAATTGTGGAGGGGGGGAGAAGGTTGTTTGTCAGACAAGTCTTTTTATGAAGTTGCGAAAATATTCATATTTAGAGGTATGAAGGAGTGTTACCCTGTTCGATCTCGTTCCGAGTGTAATTTCAATATTCTGCCGCCAATAATAAAAAGAACCTGAAGTCACTGATTAACTGTTAGTGGATTTTTCCTCGTTTCAAACAGCTTAATTTCTTTGGGTTACTGAAAAATAGCAGCAACTTTTTAATTTCGTATGATAAGCCCACTTTTTTGAGATTTTCTTCAACTGGAGTGCTTTTGTTTCCATAGGACCAAACGGTCCAATTTCGTTTAATCTGAAGTTGATCGTTGAAGTTAGCCGTCAGCTATGATTTACGGTATCATTACCAGAAATTGAAACTCTGGGAATGCAAACCGAAGTTTATCGGCCGAAATAGGTTTGGGTATATACGTAGGTCTGTATTGTTACGTTTTTTGAATGAATGCACCCGAGCAGCAAATGTAACACAGTTTTTCGGGTGGATTATAACAGTTGCCCCGCGAGTATGGCGACAGGAGTTTCATAATTCCGATACCGCGACACCAAAGATATATCTCGTTGTCTAATGTTACTGAATATCCTAAAGTTATCATAACATCATATATGAGAATCTAATTTTACACCATCAAGGCACAATTCCTTAGGTTTTGCTCTTCTTTGTTTCCTTTGGATATTTCAGCAGTAATAATATATCTCATCACATCTGGATGAATCTTCTTAAAAAGAGAGCGCTGATTTCCAAATTGAGGAAAATACCTACCACCTGTATTTGTCGTATGAAAGTTTGCAAAACGTCCACTGTCCACCAAATAGAAATATGGTGGCGTTACAGTGCACTTGACTGATTTTCTGTTGGTGGTAACATCATCGTCTCTATATTTGTTCAACAATGAAAGTTTTTTGAACTCTTGTTTCAAAAGTGGAAGTTACTTGTAGGTGTTTTTGTCCTTTGTAAACCTCTTTTTTATTCTTATCTGTTTCCACATTGTCGTGATTTAAAAGATCGTTTCGACTTCGTTCACGAGCTGGAAATACTACGATGCGGTTATCTGGAGTTTGACGCCTGCGCAAGCGCAGCACTTTTAGAAGTGTTGCTCGAAATCTACTGTTCATGATAGTATACACGATGGGGTTGTAGATCACGGATGCTTTGGCTAACAACTCGGGAACCTCCGCTTCCCCTGATGCTAAAACAGGTCTATGGGTAAATACTGCAATGAGGCTGACGAAACAATAAGGGGACCAACTGAGTACGAAAGCAGTCACGGCTATTGCTGTCATGCGCACTATTTTAAGTTCGGAGTTCCGTTGTCTCAGTTGCACTGCAATATTTCCTGGAACAATGGCTTGATGAACAATCCTGAAAAAGTAGAAAAACATTTTACAATTTACACCAGTATACCCACGAAAAGAATCCCTTCATACCATATCTCAAGAAAGCGCCTTCCACAACAACTCTTATTCGAAATTAAGCCAGAATTCTGATCGCATATATCTGGAAACATCTTATTTATTTAGCGGTGCAAGACAATTTATGACTCTTTTGCCTCTATAAAGCAATACTATCAACTCCTTGCAGTTTACGACGAGAATATCACGTGTCGCAAGCATGATCAAGTTACTGTCATCTCTATAACTAAAGTAATATTTATGTGCGTCATTGACCAAGCGTGAGGTCAAGATGGCTGGATATTGGCTGAGTTCTTATTTTGCGTTTTTCTGGACCGAGAGGCAAAAAAAAGCGGGTTAATATTCTGCCACCTTGACCGAGAAAGCTTATTATAGAGCAAAAATATTTCACTTAAAGAAGAATAAAGAATGAAATTTTTATTTTGAGAGCCGTGAAAGAAAGCCAGTAGTGTTTATGATACAAAACCCCGTGAGATTCATTTATGTTTCCCTTGTTTTGACTATCTTTTCCCGCTTTTTGTGAACCTATCGCCGACATTCCGGCTCCTAAAATTATTAGGTTCGCTTTATGGTGCCCACGGGCACTGCCAGCTGTACAAAAACACAAGTAATGGCTACAGGAGTCAATGACTGAGTGCCAAAATAGAGTAGTCATCAAAAAAATGAGCTTAATAGAGAAAATATAGGGGAAAAAGACGTTCTGATTTACCTGTAAATTCTGTAGTAACAGGCTGCCATGACGGTAAGAGGAATGAAGAAACCCATCGTAACCAGGAAGATATTGTAAGTTGTATCTGCAACTGACTTCCCCGTCCAGTCAGGACAGCAACTTATTTTAGAAGCGTTAAGAACAAACCGATTCCACCCTAACAGAGGAGGAAGCATGCAGAGACTTCCGTAAATCCATGCCATGGAAATCAAACATACGATTTGCGGCCCTGTCAGTCGTTCAGTAGGGCGTACATGCTTCAAACCGACGTAGGATACTAGAACCATTTCAGTAAGTGTGATAATAGACGATATACCAACAGCACCGTTTACGAATCCAGACCAAACACAAGTTTTGCTATCCAGAAGCTTCCCCCGGAGATTAGTTTGGATTGCCATCGGATATCCAAACACGATTATAAAGATATCTGCCAACGCGAGGTTGACCATCAGGGGGGTTATAACTCGGTTTCGATGTTCTCTTTGGTACAGTACAAGAAGAGCTAAAATATTGCCAACAAAACCAATGGTTAAGATACAGAACATGACAATGCCATAGGCCAGGTAGCCATCCTTATGCCATACAAATATCTCTTGACTGCTTTGGTTTGAAGCTCGCTCCATGTTTCGACCTCAAAACTAGATAAAAATGCAAAGCGCTAATTAGTTTCTAAAAAAACAAATGGCTTTTATCGGTAGACCCTCCTCGTTTCATGCCTTAATTTCTCGCGTACGCTTAACCTGACACTTGCATGGCCTTGCTGGCGTATTTTGCGTTTCAACCCTTTGATAGAGTTGACGCATCTTCAAATCCTTCTACACAATTCTCTTTGTGTTTAAGGTGATATCACATTTATTTCATTGGTTTTATTTAACTGAACATCGTGATTGGTTCGTGAAACGCCTTTTCTTACGAATCAGTTGCTCTACCAATAAAATTATCCAGCGCCTTAATTTCTCGCGTACGCTTAACCTGACACTTGCATGGCCTTGCTGGCGTATTTTGCGTTTCAACCCTTTGATAGAGTTGACGCATCTTCAAATCCTTCTACACAATTCTCTTTGTGTTTAAGGTGATATCATATTTATTTCATTGGTTTTATTTAACTGAACATCGTGATTGGTTCGTGAAACGCCTTTTCTTACGAATCAGTTGCTCTACCAATAAAATTATCCAGCGCCTGAAGCGTCGAAGTCGGCATCTGTTCATCTCGGTGCAGATGGTGGGTGGTACCGAGGCCATTAGTCATCTTTCATTTGAAGAGGTCTCTCGCTAAAAATCATCAAAATCTTAAAGTTTTCGATCACCAGCCTAAAACCCATAGACTGGAGGTTGTAAGCTTAGTAACTTTAACTCTGAATTTCTTTATTGTAATGGTTACCTTTTTTGTTTTATCGCAGAAATAGGAGAGGTTATTTTGATATTTGCCTTGGTTTTCGACACCCTGCATTCAATCGCAAAGTTTCCAACACCGTTAGGCTCTGTAGCGACTCAGTCGAAAGTACTTCTGGCGATCCTGAGGTTCTCGACAGTGGAGGACTGTGTCAGAAGTCTTCTTTTTCATGCATGTTTGAACATGCTTGAATAAAAGTTCAAGTCAGCTTTTAGGCTAAACTAAGTGATAAAAAAACAGAAAACAATAGGTTTTAAACTTGTTCTGATTGGCTAAAACACATGTTTTATCTTAACAAAAAATGTAGTAAACATCTTTTTATATTGTTTGCGTGCAGAAAACCTACTGCTGGGAGATACGAAGATAAGGTTTTTATATTCATGTCAGCTTCACAGTATTTAATCTCTGACTGATATTCGTTATGAGTTATTGACAAGTGGTGGATTTGTACCTAGTGTTATGGCGCTAGATTTTAAGGTCTCAATTCAATTTTTCACCGTCAAACTAAACAGAAAATTAAAAGAAAATTAAAAAAACTCGCCACATGTTTATTCGCCACCGAATTCAAACGCTTCATTCACAGTCTCATCTACACGAAAACTATGTTTGTTCATAAAAATAGCTCCGGTAAATAAATTGCTGTAATTGCTTATCTCAGGAGAGAGAATAGACTCCTCGTTTGGTAGCTTAAAGTTAGGATTAGCAAATACATTTTTAAACCACAAATACTAAGTACGCCAAAGCAAGCAGCTTATGCCGTCTGTCACTTATCAGTCGGTGGTATATACTGAAGAAATTATATTTGCATTTATTGATGAAAAAAGTGTTTTTTAAGGATTAGAACCAGACGGCGGACATAGAATCAGCGGTAAATTTTTCTCTCTGCCAAAAGCTTCATCATAAATCAAATAAATAGCTTTTCATCGGAAACATTTAAAGAAAGCAGCTGAAATGTTATTGATGTTCCTTCACAAACGTTCCACGAAGGGCTTGTTGAATGTTTTTAAAAATGCCGTTTAGTTCGGTAAGTGTTTAGCGGGACAATAACTCGAGAGTACTTCATATCGAAAATAAAATGATAAGTATGACCAAGTGGTCTGAAAAGCAAGTGAAAGTAGTTAATGGCCCATACGAGAAGTGAAGAGACTGACCGGCCCCAATGTCCGACTGAAGTTCTGAGGCACGATTCAGACTTTTTCTTTGTCACACGCTAGTGACAAATGCATGATTGAAAACTTTTGTTATTTGCTGACATTTGCTCAAAGTTTACCTTCACAGCTTAAAACGATAGGGATAAAATTTAGCATCTATAATAAAAGGGCATTTTTTAAGAAATTTTTTCACGCGTTTTTGACAACGAGAAATTAAAAAGGAGCGAAAAGTAGTCACGGCAAAACCATCACAAACTGAAGAAGCCGAAACTTCACCAGACGTTTATAACTTACCTACTGGGCATGTAATAAGATTTTTCTTCTTCCGTGTCTAGCGCTCAGTATCTTGTTTTCGTCTCCTTTAACACGTCGCAGAAGCGCACAAACCTATCGCTCTAATCAAATAACCTGAACACGAACTTTCTGTTTTGTGGTAAAAAAAAAAAAACTCTAATCAAATCATTCATGCAAAAAACCGACAGGACAGCAATCAGCCATTTGTTTTAAGTCAAGTTTGATAAATAACAGGGGAATGTAAATATAACTCCTTCTCTACAACCATAAAAGTTTATGAGTGGGAAGTTTTAATGCTGTGTATCACTTGTTCATACCATCATGTTTGCCTGTAAAACACGAAACAGTCTGCTTGCTTTAGATATAATTTTAAATTAGAAACAGCAAAAACTAGATATGGATACAACCTTAAACTTACCTTATTATGTAAAACTGAATGCAGTTGATTTAAGAACTTGGATTTTTCTAACGTAATTTACGAGAGGACATGTGTTTAACACCACTGTATTTTATCAAAGTCGCTTAATTGAGTTTGGCCGGACATTTGTTGACGTATTGAAGTATCAAGAAAATCCGGTCATAGATCAGATAACATGGCGCTAATTCAAGTTAGTTCCGTACAATCCGTTGGCCATTCTTTGTTTTCAAAGTAGTCTTCTATGTAACCACTACTTACGTTGCTTTATGATATTTCATAAATCTTGTTTTTGAGATTTCGAGAGTGTTTCAGCTCATGCTCTGAAGCAAATGCTGTTCATAATATGGTGTTCATTTGCATGGCATGAAGTGGGTTTGTGGGTGATCGTGTTGTCAATTATTATGGTAATCTTGGAGCGCATGAAAAATCCGAAGATTTGAATATTACTAAATGATGCAAAACAGATGATAGTCCACAAAAAGAAATACACAAATCGGTAAATAAATAGATACATATGAGGTAAATAAAGGAACTGAACGCTATTTGACGAGAAGAGGAATGAAAATAAACCAAATAGATTTTGTAAATGAAAAGAAATGGATTCTTAATGGATGTTGGAGTCAAGTGAATCGATAATCCCAATGGAACGAAAATGCAAAAATTTCTTGATTTAAAGTACCTAAATGTACTATTGAGAAACAAATGAGAAAGCGAAACATGACTATTATTTAAGAAAAGAATAAAAAATATTCCATATTGTTTAACAAACACGCTTTTGTTGCGCCAGCAAACGCTTCGACAAATTACTTTCGAAAAATCCTTCATTCCTAACGCATCTATCAACCGGTAAGAAATAGAAAAAAGAGACTCTTAGAGTATTCATTGAATAAAGAGTCAGCTAAAATCAAAAGGCACTTCACATTCTCTCTCAAAGTTGATATTTAATAAATAAAGTAGTAGAATACACTCATATAGGAGCGAATAACTTAAAGATACAATTGAAACCAAGAACACTGTTATTAAATGATGACGGAACCAAAGCTACTCTGATTATAGTTGCGAATTTAGATCGTAGACCGCTAAAAATCTTTCTGTTTTATTTTAAGTGAGCATACAAGCTGAAAAGCTGCCAAGCTATAGAGTTAGTTACCAGTCCATATTAATTTACATAATAAGCTCAGTTATGCACGCATTCTGATTGGTTCTCACTTATGATCTATTGGAGGACAGACGTATAGATGACGTCACTATTAAAACTTTTTTTAATTCTTTATTATATAAAGCAAATAGATTCCAAGTTGCCGTGCGTCTGTTCAGTAATAGATCACAGAACGTCAAAATGTGGTAAGAACATCAGTAACACACTTGGCTGTGCCTCATGTGCCTCTTTTTTGTTCTTACCACATTTTGACGTCATCCGTGATCTATTACCGAACAGACGCACGGCAACTTGGAATCTATCTGTTAAATCTATACACGGCTTCTCTGCACCCATTTAATATATCGAAATCAGCTCTCAAGATTCTAGCGCCTCGAATTAAACTCCTGGAGGATGTAGATGCTCGACCCGTTCTGCAAGAGGACCTCGCGGAATTAACTTCATGATGTGTATAGGGTTGTGGCCTTTACTCGTTTTGCTTCCATAGCAACGCATGCTATTTTGAAGGATATCTCTACTTCGCGACTGATTCGTTAACGAATGCACTTTGTTTCTAACCCGCCTTACGTGAAAGATACGAAGCAGCGTTGTTCGAAATCTTCGATTCTTGATGGTATACACAATAGGGTTGTAGATGACAGACGCTTTGGCCAGCAACTCGGGAATTTCCGCCTCTCCGGATGTTATTACATGCCTCCCGGTGAACACTGCAAAGAGGCTGACTAAACAATACGGCGACCAGCTTAGCACAAAAATGACCACAGATAACGCTGTCATGCGCACTATCTTTAGTTTGGAATACCGTCGTCTCATTTGCACTGCGATGTTTCCTGGCACAATTGCTTGATGAACAAGTCTATAGGAAGAGAGGTTATTGAGAGTTTGAGATTGTAAAATGCTTATCCCTATGAATTATTATCTGAGGGTATCAATGGGGCGGTGGTGAGAAATTATAAACAGCTTATAATCTCTTAAGTAGTGGCGCTTACAGCTAACTTTTAAATTTTGTGGCTTTACGCGCTTTAAGGTTTGGTTTTGCGCCGTTTTACGGCTGTTTAAAGAGTTTCATGGTTCACTGCTAGATTTTTCGGTTTCGTCATGCCTTAAGATTAATTTTTCAGCATTTTTACGGCTAACGGTTAAACCACATTGAGATCCCTCACCTAGATCCTATCTAGAAAAATCAATAGTTAATCACATTTTAGGCAGAAAGCTCAGTATTTGTTAGCAGAGGGTATATTAATAAGATTATCATGTAACAATCACCCAGTTTCAACCAGAAGAGGGGAACAAGGCATAGGTCTCGTAAGTCCCCAAACTATCAAAAGTTATCAAATAAGATATTACAAACTTTTACTCGTCTGAAGTTAAGAAGGATTATGCAAAAGGTGAGTGCATTAATCTCTTAGACAGATGAGAAAATTAGAAACGATGTACACTTAAATCTCTTTAAAGAGATTACCAAACCCTCAGCGAGGTAAAGTAAAGCCTTTATACAGGCCCAATTGGCCCATGGGGCCGGCGCTTAACTCTGGTTTCCTTGGCATGAAGCGGCTAGGAGTATTGCTACTCCCCTCTGGATGGGATGCTAGTCCATCGCAAGGTTACCCCCAGCGTATTTGCTGGTACCCATTTGTACACCTGGGTGAAGAGAAGCACTGTGAGAGTAAAGTGTCTTGCCTAAGAACACAACACAATGACCCTGGCCAGGGCTCGAACCCGGACCACTCCATCTGAAGTCGAGCGCACTAACCATGAGGCAACCGCGCCTCCACTCTCAGCGAGTTATATGTATTTAAATGGCTCAAAAATAAAGGAGCTACTTTCAGCTGAGTATTTCAAGTTTGTTTGACCAGAGCGAATCGCTATTTCTGTAGCATGAATCAGCGTTAGGAGCATTGCTATTCCGCCCGGACAGGATGTTACCGACAGCAGGTAAGCCCCGCCCTTACTGTTAAGTCAAGTTTCCTCGAAAGTGCACTTATAATCATCCATGTTCCCCAGGGAGAAGGAGGCATTGTGAGAGTGAATTACCTTACCCATGAACACAAAAATTCAAGTTACCGGTAAATTTTGTAGTAGTACAGGACCATGACAGTAAGCGGAAGAAAAAATCCTAAGACAACAAGGAGAAGACTGTAGGCTATGTCCGAAGCTGATCTTCCTGCCCAGTCAGGACAGCAACTCACTTTAGAGGCAGCAAGAACGAATCTATTCCAGCCCAAAAGAGGTGGAGCCATACAAAGACCCCCATACAACCAGGCGCTAGCGATCATACATACGATTTGTCCCACCGATAGTCTAGTATCAGAGTTGACTTGCCTCAGGCCATAATACGGAACGAAAACCATTTCGGTTAGAGTTGCGATGGACGCTATACCCACGGTACCGTTTACAAAGGCAGACCAGATGCATCGAGACCTGTCCAGAGACTTCCCCCTAAGGTTGGCTTGAATTGCTATCGGGTAACCTAAAGCGACGATGAAAATGTCCGCCAAGGCTAGATTCATCATCAGAGAGTTTACGCCACGGTTACGATGTTCTCTTTGGTGCAAAACAATAAGAGTTAAACCATTGCCAACAAAACCAATGGTTAGGATGCAGAACATGACAGTGCCATAAGCCAGGTAACCATCCTTGTGCCACAAAAATGCCTCATGACCGCTTTGGTTTGAAGCTTGCTGCATACTTTAAATTTTTAGCGACTTGGAACCTTGACGAAAGAAAATTGTAAACTCTTAATTTCAGTAAGAGTTATTTAATAAAGGTTACAGGGTGTATACGAAATCAACCATTTCACTAACCAACAGGCGAAAAGTGATTTAGGTTATGGAAATATACGCCCTCTCTGTCGTAAAAAACTTGCAAGTGGCCCGTTTTGAAAATTTCTGAATAATTTGTGGACACCGAATTGCTTCCAAAACGGAGCAAAGCTGAACAAAAGACTTGTAGATACATTATAAAATCCTTATCATAGATTTATTTCATCGTTTAGAAATTCCAGGAGAAACTGTCGAAGCTTTTACATTTCTAAATGAATAAAATTAATTTGATCGTTTCATTACTGTTGGTAATATTTATTGAAAGAAGTATATACCCATATAAAGGATATAAATAACTCCATAGTTGGCATACTCGTATATGATTGTACTTAAGTTGTGATGAATTACAAACACTTCCGAATAAACAATTGAGTTTGTAGTGGTAACTCATTGGTTCAGAGGAACCAAACCAAAGGACATTTATAACCTACTTGTACATTCATTGTTGACCAATGAGAATTGGTATATTTTAAAGTAGGCTATTAATGTTCAGAATTTTAACTTTTACAACACCCTCGACTTTTAATGTTATAAAAAGCAGGTGTTTATTTAATATTCGTGGGGGAAACAGACATGTCAATAAAATAATTGCCTACAAGACCAACAGAATAAAAACATTCAAAGCTTTCTCTATGTCGGCAAATCGTAGAAATTGTACCCGACCGTAAACAGTTGAAAGAACTGGAAACTGATAGTGAAGCCAGCCATTAACATCTTAGTATGAAACTCTTAAATGACAAGTTCATGACAATGTTGATAGGTTTTTTTTATCCGGCTCAACAGAAAGAAACCTGCAAGATATTCGCAGCTAGGTTAGGCACGCGGAAACAAAAAAAATATATGGCTTAAAAATAAGTCACTTACATGGAAAATCGAGGGGAAAAGTCTGATTATATTTTGCCATAAGGACTGAGATAAGTATCACGTGATATGATACTAGAAGTATGTAGAGAACAAAGTGTTTGAAAACCGATAAGGCGATACTCTGAACAGGGACAGGATTCGTGCACTACTTCACACTCTTCACGGGCAATTTTCGATGTTACATAACTTAAGCGGTAAAATTCATAAGACTGATTTCTCGATTGATACTTTTGGGCGACGAACGATTAATTCATTAAATAGTGAGAGGCTAGCAGTACAACCTTTTTTTCCACAGGTCTTTGTTTGACTGAGTGGCTCCTTTTTAAATATTGAGAGGCTACAGTACAACCTTGTTTTTCACAGGTCTCTGTTTGACTGAGTGGTACCTGAATAATGCAAGTTATAGATGCTGGAGGTTGAGCGAATGATTTACAAGCCTCAAGACGCAACATTTTGTAAAGAACCGAATCGTGATGGGGGCGAACTCTATATCTTGAGATCGTAAGAAAAAGATAGAACTTACCCAAACTTTGATTATAAACAGTTTCTTCTTGTCTTTCCGATGAAGGAACACACGCATTCATGGAAGGAACTCAAATAATCGGACTAAAATCTGGAGACAAAGTGATATAGTTTGTCGTCTCCAACTAAGAATTTCGTAACAATTGAGGTTAAATTGAGTGGTAAGTAATTTCGCTTTACTGTCAAAATAGCCACAAATGAAAGGGATAATTTAGCTCAAGGCTTTTGTATTTATGACACTTGCAAGAAACAGTTTTTAGATTGAAAACCATTAACATAATGCAACAGAGAAGTGCTCCAGGCTTTTGAAACGCCTACATATGTTGACCAAATTGCTATTCAAACTCCCATGCAATCTGGTTCCTTCTTTCAATTTATGGCAAAAGGAAGGAAGGAAATCTCAAAATTTAGTAAATTTAACCATAGAGTATTACTTTTTTTTTATAAAAAAGGACCAGGGGTCAATTGTATCAGTTGTTAGTTTAAAAGTCAATGATTTCCCAGTTGAGTTTCTTCAAGACGCCAACAGTCGTAAACAGTGCAACTGTTCCATTTGTTAGCAAAACGTTTTTATGCCTACGCGGTATGTTTTCAGCTTCATCACAGCATTTCTCAACAATCAATTTGGGTTAACTGAAATAACTAAAGCCACGATCCATCAATTTTCAATTGCGTGGCACTTAATTTGAACTTTCCAGGTTATAAAATTGAGTCAAAGTGACCGGAATAGAGGAAGGAAATATAGAATGAAATGAATCAATAAAAACTTTACGAGATCACGGATAAAAGAAGAATAACAAAATTCCAATGTTTTTCATGTTTAAAAAGTATCTGAAATTTCAAGCAGTGAGGATTTCTTAATGAAATCTCTTTAGGGAAAGAAAACAGATGTTTGGTCCACCTTATGTCATCTTTCGTATTTCTAAAGTCACTGCTGCAAAATCAATTTTCAGTTTATGAGGCGAACAAATTACGGAACGGAAAGGACGTCTTCTCTCTATGTAGCAAATGCTATCGGGTTTTCCTAACTTACTAATTCTTAAAAGTGCAGATGTTTTTTGATCAATACAATATCAAAACAATACAAAAAATAACTACTCATTCGAAAGATTTACATGTTAAATTTTTATTCATTAGACGGGTTCCCGTCAGCGTTACTAGTGTCAGTTATGGGCCTCGGCGAGGCCTCGGCGAAAGTTGGCTCAGGCATGCGCAGTAATCGATTTGGTTACTATATGAAGGTCGTAAGATTTATATCATTTACTTACATGCTTTTTTTGCAATAATTCGTATCGCATATGGTGACAGTGGTGGGATCTGAGCTTTTCAAAAAACTCGGTGATGATAGCTTCATGAGAGAAACTGTCAGAACAGTAGCCAAGAAACGCCGCAACGCACGATCTCTAAAATAAGTTCTACCGATGTTCGTATCAAGGCAAAACGATTTGCGGCTACCTCTGAAGAAGGCTGACTTTCTTGCATTATTGCAAAATGTTTTCAGTATTAACTTACCAATGTTAGAGGTCTACAGCTCCAACTGATACCAAACAGTGCTAGTGAAACTGGCAGTCTCAAATATGACAAATATAGATGCGACGGCGTTCATCAAACGACTATTGGAAAAATGTTATCAGTGTTGCAGACACAAAATGTGCTCTAAGGCGAAATGCGTGGGGACCCTTATGGGGTCATTTATTTTTTTTCAATCAGTCCAAAACAAATATCGTGTGAAGAAAATATATTTTTCGTCTTGAACGACGAAAATATCCCCAGCACTATGAGGAAGCTGAATCAGAAACTTTTCTATTTATCACGTTCGTGACAACACGATTAAATATCTTTGTTCACATCGTCACCAAGCTTAGAATTCACCATCTTCAACACTCTTTAAACGAACGCGAGGTTTACGACACTGCTGATCCTAGCAACATACGATCTAATATCGACCTTGTAATGATAACAGTGATAAACTGCGAGCTCTGCGAGACAAGTTCCTGTTTGGTTGTGTGTGGGATCTCACGGGAGATCTAATTTCTCAAGGCATCTCAGCAGACTGGGCTGAATTTCGTCTTTGCAACCTTCCGTAACAGATCGTTTTTATCCAAACCAGTTTTGTTGAAAAGGCATTTTTATAGTTAAGAGCCTCGATGACAATCGTATGTCGTAAAATTTACTTTGATGAGTGGGTACGTACTGCTAGGAAGGAAGTTTGACTCGAAAGAAATTTGAGAAATTGTCGACACTGACGTATTAGATTGTAAAGATCTTTCCATTAACTTCTTAGATATAAATTCAGTTCCGTTATAAATTCTCAGCACTAAACATAGTTCCCATAGTTTTATTGCAGATTTGAATATTTACAGATAACAAAAATCGAAGCCAGCATCATAATGCGTTTTCTCTGGTTCCAGAATATACGTAAAGGGTTTTGATGAAGCTAATATATCAACGTCTTTCCAATCTCTAAATCTCTCAATAAGTTAATTTGTATCATACGCCCAATTAAGGGAACCAGGATAACTTTTAGCTTCAGTACTGCATACTGTGAAGAACTGAGAGAGGAAGGAAAGTGGCTGAGCAAGGAATCCCTATTGCAAACGACAGCCTCTAAGAATCGTCTTATCCAGATTGTCCACAACATTAATCATATACTGTAACGCATATCCCATACCCATGATCTCATCAACTGGGCGAGCGATAACAATTGCGTCAAAGTTGGAAACTGGAAAAATCTTACATCTTTCAAATGTTATAATTACCAAAAACGAAGACATACATGTTTGGTTTTTTATTTGAAGGTGCAGATAGAAAGCTTGATTAGAGCTGTTTAATTGCTAGAGTGTGTCGAAACTAACAGGGGGAGATTTCTCTAAAAGTGTTTGTCTTGATACTTTACGAATAAGCCCAAAGAGCGAGTAAATCAACGATTGAAACACATGAGGACTGATTGAAGGCATCCCTTAAAAATTGTCTGAGTTAGAAATAAAAATGCTTTCCCTTTGCAAATCAGGACCGAGAACGGAGAACGGGCATGTGCAGTAATCGATTTGGTTGCTATATGAAGGTCGTTCTCCTTTCCTATCCAAGTCTATGCACCGTTTGGTTCGACCGTCAAAATATATAACGTTATCGAGGTTTGACATCCAAGGCCCGAAAACTCTCTGAAATATCTAATTCATAAAAGGTACAAATATTCACTTACCACGTTTCGGCGTGCAGCTGTTCCCGCTCTGGCTCGATGCCTCTCGAGATTCATCCAACACTTAGACGTCGTATCCTTGCATAAAGTAGTGTCACGTATTCTTTTATAAGTAACCCATTAGGACATTGAAAATTACATATTGCCCCTAGGTAACTATAGATATTAAGATTTCGCCTCCTTGGAAACTTTTGCCTTAAGCACCATGGCATGTTATGTCATGTCTCAGTTTTAATAATAGACCTGCAACGTACGCGTATACACGTGCAACGTATTCACGTGCGGCTTGCAGATTAATTCTGGCATCGGTACTGCTCCAGCGACTTGTATGCAAAAATATTTGGCCACGGTACTCATTGGTTTTGCATTTTGTATCTTGGCTAGAGAGTGGTAAATTCTCACCTCAGAACTAACCGAAGTTGTCGCTAAGTGGAACTACTGCAATTCTCGATCATAGATGGGTCATTGTTCGTATAAAAAATGTTATATAACAAACAAAGGTCTCGCAAAATTTCACCTTTTGAATGGTTTTAAGAAATTAGTTTTCCTTTCAAAAAACTCATTTCTTAAAACCATCCTAACATATTACTAATTAGCGAGTGCGCCATCAAATACAGTGGAGTCACTTGACTGTTCGAGTACGTACAAACACGCATTTAGCCGCAAGCGTTTGTCTTGTATTTACAAGTAAACCCAAAGTATCCTAAGATTATTCTTACTTCGTTTGAGCATTTATTCATTAACCTAGGATTTCTCTTTAGGTTTGATAGAAATATGTCATAAGACTTGCACCGAAAAACACTTGATGTGGGCCTGCGTTGCTAGCGGTTTTTAAAAACGGAGCAGCTGAGCCACAATAGGACCGGGAAGGAAAATAATAACATAAACAATTCAAAGTCCCTCTGCTCCAATTCGCAGCTTAAGGTGATTCCTCAGTTTTGCACTATTCATCCTGTACTGCGCATAAAACTCAGGCGAATAACCGTGCGCATTTCGAGAACACGGTATTGTCTTTCAATTAATGGCCAGGCAAAGAGGTACGATGGTCTCTGGCTCGTGAACGAGCACAGTGACCTGCATTTTTTATTGTATAATTTTAGCGAACAAACTTTCCCCTTCAAACTGGACGATTTAGAAACAAATTCAGCGAAGGGAAAAAAGTTTCCACAAACTCCGTTACCCGATGATGCAAATTATGAACTTCAAAGCCACGACTCATGGAACGTGCAGAGTCGATGTCGCATAAAATTGCGTGATTTTTCACAAATTATATACCAAATTGTTCCATACGCTCGAGACCCTTTACCTGTCAATTTTTTTTTAAATGTTTCTTTAAACACCCCTACTTCCAGCTACCTTAAATGTACGTGAACCGATAAAATGATGCGCGTGATTAGTTCCAGAACAGGCATGAGTGGGGTAAGTTTGGCTCATTAAATCTCTTAAACGAGTACGGTGACCTGTCTTTTAAATTGTATTTTTCGAAATAGACATTGGTAGGGAACTTTTAAGGAGAGTTTTAAAAAAATGTTGTATAACTTTTGAGCAATCACCTTGACAGTCTTTATTTTCATTGGGCGACCAAAAGTCGTCAGCTACGTGGTCTAACCAATTTTAACTGATATTGCGTAAATTCAATTAGGCTTTAACAATATGTTGTGTTCTTGGGTATGGCTCTTAACTCTCACAAGGCTTCCCCGACTCCGTGTAGCAATGGTCGTTCAAAAGGTGGATAATGGTTGATGTAATCTCTATCCGGTGGACAGCGCAGTACGTTTCGTTATTTCTTCTTCGCGGAATATCGATTTATTCATCGCATAAAGTTACCCGATTTTGAACGACTGGGCCCTCAGTGAATAGTGAGTTTTGGCCCGGAATTGAAAAGATTCATCGTTGACCGCAGATGATTACAGCAGCATACTGTGCGTGGACTTGGAAGACTTTACAGGGAATACTCGATACTCTGCATATAACATGTTTGGTGTTATTAATGCGATCCTCGTTAATTAGTCAGCTTGAGAATGGGGAAAGAAAATTGTCGAAAAGTTGACCTCTAAAGGTCTACAACCGCATCAATCCATCAATGATCCCGAGACCGTAAAGTGATCCTGAGACCACAAATGATCCCGGGGCCGCATATGATCCCAAGACCGCAAATGATCCCAGTCATTCCTAGCACCTCATTATTTTGTACAGTAACCTCAATGTTGTGCACACCGATAATATCGGAAACGTGGGTTTCGTTTGAAGCTACTATCAATGATTGTTAGAGGCATTAGACTTACGCTCCACTTCATTTGCAAAAGACTAAATAGATCTGAAGTACAAAACTTAATTTTGATATAAACTTAGCGAATGTCAACCGTCACAGGTCCTATGATTAAACTATAAAACTGTCAGAATTCTTAACATAGTCCAGTTTTGTCCATACCATGACGTCATGAAACATGGCGTCACGGTCCAATTTTTAAAAACTCAGAGATATGCACGATTTTCTTTTTCTTTTTTTTTAAAAAAAGAAAAAAATTATGATAATTCTCAATATAAGTGCTTCATATTTATCAAACAGAAGTCGAGTGCACATTGGTTTAGTCCAAGTGCACGGCCATTGTTGTGGTGACTTGATGTCCCAGGCCGTTATGGCGTAATGGCCTCTGCCAGCTATCGATTTTTTCAGTTTTCCTAAAGGTCCTTTTGTTTTTCGTTTCAGCTCATGGATGATTATATGAAAGTGTACGAAGGCCTCTCAAAACAATATATGCCACAAACAGGCCTACTGCATCTAAACATTTCCGCACATAGTCGCTCGAGCAGAGTTGGAGATATTTTCCTCCAAAGATATTCTGAAAACTTGCTGTTGGATAGTCAAAAACATTTTGCCGGGTACTGGTTTTTGACTGGATGATAGGCAATAATAAACAACATACGAATGCCTCCTTAATTTCTGCTCCCGCTTCCCGCTCAATCCAAGTCTGATACGTGCAGTTGTATCTCTGCAAACATATGAATAACCAGCATTTTTTTGGTAATTTTATTCCACAGTTAGAGTCGTTTAACAAAAATTACATAGCCATCGCTTCTTTTGATCTTAAAATACAAGATTTCAAGTTTGCTCATTTAACGGCGTATTCTTAAGTCAGAGAAATTTTTAATCGGTCAAGTCGAGCGAAAATATTTATATCACGGCTTATTTGATCAGGAAATGCCATTCACCACAAGAGGTCAAGATAATGATTATAACGACGAACATAACTGAGAAATGGCTTTCAAAGGAGCATGGTGGTACAACTAGTATTACTACTACTGAATGGTTTGTATCATCGTGGCAAGCTCTCCTCCAGTGCTGATGGAGTGAACTGTATGAGACTGGAAAGGACATCAATACTCATCAAAGAGAACCGAGATGAAAATAACACCAGTGGATTTCTCAACTGTCATGCTTACAACATAACTATAGCACGGTGCCATCCTAAACAAACTTGGCCCAAATGCTAAGTATTATGAGTTGACTAATGTGTGTAAATAATAGGTCAAAATATTTTATTTCCTGGGAGATATACGTCCCCATTTCCAGCATTTTTTGTACAATTAATAAGCGAACTTTGCCTTGCTGCTGTGTCAAACGGAAAAGCCACCTGCAAATTCAATCCACAATGTTGTGTTATATATCTATCAGACCTCAAGAACATTGAACTGTTTGAACTTGTCCGTCTCATTCATTTGATTACCTTTACCTAAAGAAAAGAAGATGTCTCCTTGTTTTGACAAAGTCCAAAAATAAGGATATTTTAAGGCCCAACATCTCCATTAAGCGACCACCTATGATCATAACTCCAACATGTCCATCAAATCAAATAACAATTTGCCTGCCTTTGATGTATTCTGTGACCAAACAATAGCTGGTCAAGGATAGACAATGTTCCAGAAGAGACCGGACGACTCCGTTGATTACTAACGCGACTCCAAACATGGCTTTGGTAACCTGACTGGTGAATTTTGGCTGGGAATGGACATGATTCACCGCCCAACCTCAGATAAGAACAGCACGCTGCGTGTGAACTTAAAAAACCCTGAAGGGGATTCTTGTCATGCTGAGTATAAAATGTTTGTTGTTATGAGTGAGAATTTCAAGTACAGGCTAGTCTATGGTTCTCATCCGGGTAAAACGGAATTATATATATATATTTAAATTTTGTTATCGTTATAATAGCGGGAGAGGGGGAAGGAATAAATACTGTAGAGGTTCCCAAATTATTTTGCATATATTGCGATGTAGGTGAGAGGAAAAAAAGGAACCTCAGCCCACCTAAATGCAATCTTGGTCGACACATACCAAGTGTTAAAATTATTTATGTGGAATATGCACAGCTGGCGTGAAGGACCGATGCAAGTCTGATAATGTGCATGCAGAAATCATGTGACGGCATTTTCATTGGCTGAGAACACGTCATTTAACCTCAAACAGTGCAGAAAGTTGAAATTGAGCGCAGAAAGTTCAAATCGATGGTAACGAAAATTTGAAAAGTACTAGCCGAAAGCCCTAAAAAAATGACTTGAGGAGTTTCACGCAACGGTTGGTGAGAGAAATGGGAAGGATTACGAGCGTGGCAGCCTTCCTGTAGTTATTACTGCTTTGAAATAGCCTGAAGCGCGTTGATTTTTCAGACCCGCAAGGCGGATAAGGTCTATGTGACCGTAAGGCTGCCACGATAAAAAAGCACATGAGAATCTATCTCAATGCTGGCCATGACATCGAGACAGCATCGCAAGTGATGACGAAAATTGAGTCATCTCGTGGAATGGCCGAAGTCAGCATGACAGTGAGCGGTCCACAGCCTACTCTAAAGTCAACGCCAGTGAAGTGGGAAGGAGTAAGTTTTATTAATAACTGTGCATACACCAACGAAGGTGTGCTGGTGTGGAGAGCGTATGGAGTTGATTACGGTAAATTTTTACCTTGGAACACTTTCCGTCAACAATGCAGTAGCCCTCTCCCTCAGTTAAACAAGCATACAGATAATGTAATTTTCAACGTTTCTTTTCAAACCGTTAGCGTCAGTAACAAGAAAGAACGTCACAGAAAAATTATCTTACTAAAGTATTCCAAGAGGGAGAACGCACCGGACAAAAGGCTGATCCTACTAACCGTTCGAAGGCAATGCGAAGAGCTAAGCACAGTGATGGTTCTAGTGTTCGGCTAGCTTCTTAGGCAAGAGTAATAATAACCAGCAGGGTTGATTTATTTTACGCCATGATGTGAGTTATACCTTCCCGCACACGAGTCTGTAGTATCAGTTGGTGCAATGATTACACTAGGCGTTTCTTGAGTTAAGTGATATGCAGTAATGGTTTTATCACCCGCGAATGTAAACTTTTCCGGACCACTCCCTGAAAAAGATAAATGTAAAGTCTTACTACCGGTACAACTTGAATAACTCAACAAGGCATGGTAGCCTCTGTAAATCTGGTGAACGTGGGCTGATACAAACATTTTAGTGAAAGTTGTGGTTTTCTAGTTTTTACCCCAATACAGCATCTTTTTAATAAAGAAATATTCTAACACTGTACTTCGCTCTATTCCACATCTGCAGTGATGGGCTATACCCTTTGCAGATCTTTCGCTTCATCGATAATTCGAAAAGTACAATGGCACTTTTAATTATGATAGATTTAATCATGGTCGAGTTAAATGGTTGTTGCTCTTGTTTCTCATATTCAAAACTCGAGCTAAGTTCCCGAAGCCACGTGTTTCACAGTCCAATGTTCTAGTTTTGCGGAATTGTCGATTTCATTAGACCTCAATTTGAATTAATTAGCGTTATTCCGCATGCTCAAGAGAAACATGCTTCACGAATAACAACATTCCGCTTACATTTGCCGGTTCGCAGTTTGGTTAGAAACTAACATTTAGGCAAAGTTCTCTCATGTGAAGTTATTACAGTCTCCTTTTCAACAAAATTGGGAATGGAGAAACCTCAAATCAAAACAATTCCGAGATACGCTTTGTAAGAGCATGATCAGGAGGCGTTGACTATCCTGATAAGTAATTTTGCTTTCACGTGAACGATGCCGTAATTTCAGGACTGTAGCCCTCTTCCTTGAAACAGTGACATGGAAGTTAAGAGAATATTATTTTAATTCAGCTGCAGATTGGACGTAAAATGCGAAACAATTGAGTTTGCGTGTGTATGTGTACTTTTTCGACAAATAAACGGCACCGTCGAACCGGCGCATTTTATCCAACTTTATAATTTGATTAAATCACGTTGAATCGTTTCCCCAAAAATCCCTTTGGAGATCGAAAAGAACTGCTCTTCGCCTTCCAAACGCCATATTTTCAGCCAATCATTTTTTACAGCACATGGTTCAATAACGGGTTACTTTTGACCTATTTTTAAATTAGTTAGAGGATTGTGTAAATAAATGGTCAAGAACTGCGCAAATTACTTTCAACATATGTTCTGATGTTGTTTTTCAAGACTTGGTACTTTTCATCAGTTCAGGTGTTTCCATTTTGTGACGTGACGCTCCGACATTTATCTAAAATTTTGAGCTTCAAAAGCGGCATTATATTCAATATTCAGCCAAACGGAGTATGCAGTGATTTGTTTCACTCTAACGCCTACTTAACTTGAGAATATCAACCAAATTGATGTTTTGGCTGTTGCCATCATATTTTGAAAATGTTGGTTTTATGGCCACATTTGCTCTTATTAATAATTGTATGGTATGTGACGTGTCGATCAGGATTTATCACATTCTATACCGTGTGCACTGGTTTCAACGCCGTTCGGCCATCTTTATTTTTGTTCGCCCTACACTATTTCCCTCTAATCAAATTTATTTAAAATGCTTCTTCTTAAATGAAAGCTTTCGCGGATACACATTAAAAATTTACAGAAAGTGCAAAACTAAAGCTTAAGCCTGGCAAAAAACTCCCATACGAATGTTGAAATCGCAGAAGCAAACGTAGCAGAATTACCATACTAAAATATTGGGTACTGATTCATTTTGCAAGTGGTTTTCTTTCTTGTGCAAATAACATTTTCAGTAACTTTCAGGATAAAATCCTGTTGCGTTGTGGACATGGAAAGTCCAAGGCTAATAACCAAGTCCAAACTGATTTCCGTTCTTTTATTCACCTCTTTTTCTAAATAAGCTTACACTGTCGAAGACGACGCATTCTTGTAAGATAAATTCCCTTTCTTGGAAACTAAATTCAGACAATTCTAAAGAGAAAACTGAGTGACTTATTTTGTATCACAACGCTTCCTTACATTTTGTTAGTGTCGTCATTTCGTTGACTTTATCACAGATTAAAATTGTTATTCTCTTGTTTACGCTTGCGCAGCAAAGTATTCTCCACCATCATGTCAAACAAACTTTCATCTGTAAAACCTGAATCCTTGGCGACTATATTAACAACGCTCCGTGGACCAAAGGAACAGCATAAATTGCATTCTAGGAAGAATGGATTTCCTTCAACGTCTACTCGGAAGTCGAATACACCAAAATCCTGTAAACCTAACTCTCGAAAAGCTCGGCAACTTTGTTGTTGAATACGATGAATCAGCTTCTCCTCTTTTCTGGGATCAAGGAACCAAGTTTTAGTTTCTGGAGATTCACCTAGAATGAAAACAAACACAGAAACAAGCAAATTTTTAACAACTTCTTGTTGAAAACTTTTTCCCTTAAAAAGTATCAAGAGTGTTTTCGAAGATACTTGACGACTATTGGCTGATTTTTAAGCGAAAAGCAGCAATTAAAACGTGAGACAATAGTAACCGAGAAGTCTCAGAGGATTGCTCAATCTAAAGAGAGATAAATATTTAGCCTGCCTCTATAATATTCACTCGAGTTCTGTCCTAAAGCCAAGTTCGCAATCTTCACTTGAACAAAAAAAGCAAGCAAAAGAAAGGTGGAAGAAGAAAGGAAAACTTGTGCAAGAACTTTTCCAACAAACAGAAAGTCAGAGCGTAGGAACTGAGGAAAACTGCAAGGAAAAACATTCATTTTGACGTATCTGAGCTTATCTGTTAAAAGAGAAATACGACGACCAAGTCCGTATCTATTGAAATTCAAACAGACCTTTCTATGCAAGACAAAAAGTACTTGGAAAACTCAAAAGGAATTACAGGTTACTGGAAACGCAGTCCTCTCAAAGCCTTAGTTTGAAGCTGACGAGTCGAGACGAAGCCGAGTTTTGTAGATTAATTTTTTTTTTGCTGCCATCATCTGGCAAGGCATTTATAACTTGGGGTCGCCTCTCCCACAAGATACTTCTCACACAATCAACAACGAAGTTTTGGTAGGACTGAAGACATTTGTAGGCTTTGAAGTGTTCCTTTACCATATCAGGAAACTCGACCTCCGGCCATTTATCCATCGATCGAGAGAAAAAGTTGGCACTGACAGAGTAGGGATCTAGTCCTGCAGAACGTTTAAGCCTCTCGCAATTTTTTTTATTATTTTTGTTCTCGGCGTTGAGTAAATCGCAATAACTTCGTAAAAATTGCACGCGATCGCCTTCGACAGCCGCCATGTCGTTTTTACCTAGTATGCAAAATAGCGGCGTAGGTACGATTGATGTGGGATCACGTGACAAAAACCTCTATTTGGGATTTAAAAAATTTCTGAGCTAGGAACCCAATTAACTTGAAAATGTGCTCTGAAAATGTGGCTTCGTAACACATATGGTAATACCGGTGTTGTTGATAAAATTAAGGACATATATCTACAGTACTTACCAACAGGTAATCCTTTTTCATTGCAGTCGAGCTTGTCTTCGGTTCTTCGAATGTCATTTTCTCGTACTTTATACTCGATGCACGACAAAGCTTTTAATTCTCCAGTTGCTGCAGATTTAACAACAGCGCAGCGAATTTCCCGTCCCTCTACGTACCTGCCGAAAAATATAAGAAGAAACAAAGTAATAAATCGTTGAATAGGATTAACTTTTTTAATTGAAAAACGTTATAAGGCTGCAAAATTACACATAGTCTCTAACCAAGGTGTGTGGCCCCACTTCAATGAATACAAAGGAGGGGTCGAATTATAATGATAAAGTAATCTAGTACGTTAGGAAAGCCCCATGAGTTTGCATTCCTAAAATAGCTTGTTTAAACGTTCTAAGGCCTGCTTAGTGCACTAATAGGTTTTGCAGCCTCCTGTTATCTTGTTGTCTTGGTATCCCGCCAGAACTTACCGCTTACTTCAGACTGACCCTTTGTTTCTTTTTAACAATTCAAGCCATTTCCATGGGAGAATGCGAATGATCACGTCGGGATTGGTTTCGCTCTACCATTTGATTGGTCGAGAAGGTGGTACGATTATTTTCACCAATCACAAAGCACACTTAAGAAAAAAGCTAGGTCAGCTCGGATCACTTTCGACAAGCAATTAAAAATTGCTTTCTTTAAATTCATACATGTCTCAAACCTCACTGAGAACCATCTGATCTAAGAGCTACCGAAGTTAGGCTTCTAGGCTCTTTCGGAGATGCACAAATTTTTCTCGAGACGTCTGTGAATAAACAGGTTTCCTCGTATTTTGAGTTACTTACAGTCAAATCTACACAAGTTTTTGAATGATTCTATGTATTTAAACAAATGCTTTCATCGGCAAATCAGATTCATCTGATTTGGGATCCGGCCTCCAGTTTCATTCGCATATAAGCTTGACAACAACTTGGCTTATCGGCATATCAATATCATCACGGTCAAAACTGACAGCCAAACCATGTTCACTTGTAGACGCTTCCTCGACTTCTACACTTACTTAACAGTAATGCCTACCTTTCAATGATCACATGATCTGAATACGATAACGCATGCTCAATAGCTGCGTTGAGCACCTTGGAGTCTTTCACGAATCGCACCGCTTTGGTGTCTTCTCCTTTACTTGCTTTAACAACACATGGATACGTAACGCGTTCACATTCTAGCGGGTCACCTATGGCAAAATAAATCTTAAAGTCAATCCGATTTAAATTCCTAATTATGTTTTTTTACATTAGTCGATGGTGAGTTACTGGCGTCAACAAAGCCTCGTTGTGTCATAGTAAAACGGTGTAAAATTGAAACAAACTAATACAACTACTTTTTTAATTAGCAGTGGTGCTATCAAGAGAGGGTAGACTTGGTAAGGTATAAGTTGGGCGCAATTTGTCATTTTACCCCGAAATAAATCCCTTTCATTTTTTTCCAATTTGAAACTGTTCTCTTTTCTATAACTTTGCTTTCAATATTTTAAACTACTCAGTATTGTGAACTTTTTTTTTAGCCAACCTCATGTTTTATATTTCACACAAAGTACAGGAGCTTGAGAGGGAGTTCAAAAACAAATATAGTTTTCCTTTACAAGAATGTCGCTTGTACCTTTGTGGTAAATAAATCCATCAGGACAGGAAACATCGCCGTAAGAAACTAAAACACCGCGTGTGGTTAGTTTGTCCATGGAAAGATATCGTGATTCCACTGATCCACCTACTAATGGAATATCCAATGCATCAAAGAGTGCCCTGTGGATAGGAAAACGAAAAGCCTCTGTCAGTATTAAAGATAAGAGATCTCTGTATTGTATGGCGGAAACTAGTTAAGTTATCATTCTCTTTGGTTTGTGTAAGGTTGCCTTTCAGTTCTCCACAATATTTCTATACGCATGAAATTCTCATTCAAATGCGAGGCCATCAAGGCTAATTTGTATACACACAATGAATGAAAATCATGCGCGCTATTCTGAAAGAGATCTATTTACTTACCACTTTTGCAATATCCAAAGAATCAGAGTGTGCCCTTTGACAATGGCATAGAACAGTGCGCAAGATCATCAACAGACGTCAAGGATTTAACATTTGGTGGCAAAACAAAGGATTCAATTCGCGTAAACTAAGTTGGTCCGCGCAAAACATGAGAATAGTTTATTTACAAGAACTCGCAAAATGAGTTCGTCATTAAAACCAGACGAGAAAAACTACATCAAATTGAAACCTAAAAAACCCTTTTGTAAGAGATCTGACCTGTAAGTTGTCATTCCTTTTAAACAAACAAAATGGAGTAGAGCCATATCTGGTTGTATCACATGTTTAATGTGCTGCAAGGCGGCAGTGATGTCCATCTTCTTGAGACTGTTTTCTCTTTCCTCCAATTTTGTCAAATCCACAATATCAGACAGTCTTTCCGCAAATGACCAGGAACCAGCTGGCCTCACGAGGGCGTAAACAAAACAATAATCATGTTTTGGGGACTGCATTTCTTCGGGAAACGAACCTCCGTACAGCATGGTTAACTTGAAGCTGAATTCATCCGAGGGTGAACCCAAAACATGTAAAATCTGAGACAACAAGAGATTTTTTACAGCGAGCCTCGCTTAATGTGATTCCTCAGATGACAAAGACATTGAATATTATCTTGAACTTTCCTTAAATGTTCTCTACCAAGGTTTTTTTGGAAAACTACAATGAAAAAGATAGGTCACCGTGCTTGCTTAAGAGATATGATGGCCCAATCTTACCCCAATTTTCCGCCAGTTATGCCTGAGCAGTTGGATCTCGACTAGCTGTATGCGGCCGATCAAGTTAAAGAAAGGCAACGGAAGACGGCGGGGAAACAGTTTTAGATAGAGAAGAAATTATATGTTGTAGAATGCATTTATTCGTAAAAAGATGAAGATGGTAGTGGTAATGGTCGCCATTAGGAAGGCTGTGACGACTTTCTTACGCTTAAAACATCGGAATCATGTACCATTATCCGTTCATCAACTATCATCTCGATTTGAACATGTCCAAACTGTATGGTAGTGGATAGTAGTTAGCGACACACACTATTTTCATGTAAGGACGTATAATTTTGAGGCTGAGGTTAAATGTTCCTTTTCTGCGCGGTTTGAGCCTGAAAACGTTCTTAAGAGCCAAGGCAGCATGCATCAAACAAACAGCGGCAAGTCACCCAGATTTGTTTTCCCTCCTATTTTTATATCTTGTAGCCCAATATGTTCTTATAATTGTGGTGTAGTTTTTTTGTAAAAATATATTTTAGTTTTCGAGAAATAATTTTTTTCGTTCGACCGCTCAAATATGCAAATTTTCACTGTGAATATTACTCGAGTTGTGTGACCTCATGTATCGAATGTACTAGACCTACGGTATTTCTGTGAACATAATCCTTTGTTTTATCATCTAAACTTAGTCCCCTGTTGTTATTGAAGCTGCCAAAGAAATATTTATTTTTTGGTGAATATTTTTGTCCGACATACTTTTCCTATGTCGAAAAGTAGCATCAAAACGACACACGATATGACACAATCTACTGAGCTTCAAGCTTTCATAAGACAAAAGGATGATTATAAAGTTACTGTAAAAATTTCTTTGTGTATTTGCGTTGTTCTATCTTAAGACGAACTCAAAGTCCGGCAAAATTTACTTGATAGCGACTATGAAATGTACATGGTGCGCCTATTGTCGCCATCGTTAATTGGCATAAATCACTACAATTTGCAAAAAAATCTAACGTAACACCCTTATCTTGTTTATTTATGATTTTATTAGCTGTTTCGATGATCACGTTAATTATGCTCTACCACATTCTGGCCAGATTTGAGTTCCAGTTTATATATCTTCTCTAACTTATTTTATCAGTTGCGTGACAAGCGTGACACAGAAATTCAAAGATGAATCAACCTCCGAAATACCAAGAGATGGTTTTTTTTCCTCTTTGCATGACATCTAGAAAAACCTTTCAGGAATTACTGCACTCAGAAAATTAAAATGTCCAGATCCATCTATGATTCCTTTGCCCGCTGAAGTCAAAGTGTGGTTACAGTAGTCAATTTGATTGACAAGCTACATACTGATTTAGCTAACCGATCTGTTTTATAAGCGTCTCATCTTACACGCTAACATGGAGATTTGCCATTCAGTTAAATCGTTCGCTGGTGGAACTTGTGGGTTTAGTTATTGAGAAGACCAAGTCGTTCTCTTGTGTGATTGTTAAAAAGACATTTCATGTCACTTGCGGAGTTGCAAGTTTTCAGATCCAGAAAATGAAGTTGATCTTGTTTTGTCTCGTGCCGTATCTTCGAGACGCCAAAAGATATCGATGATTTTACAAATTGCCCCACTCACAGATCAAATCCCAGTGTTGGGTGGAATCGTGGTTCCAATAGCAGATGAAGGGTGCCAAAAGAAATGTCCGGCCATGGTAACGGTAGGGTTAAGTCGATTCCAAAAGCTGATAGGGGAATTAGCAAGCGTGTATCACAGATAGTACTCAAGATGTGAATGAAAGTGATCCTCGCAATAATGTGCACTACTTGGGCAGTAATGAAAATAAGGCCTGAAAAAAATTCAGGCCTGTACGGGATTTGAACCCATGACCTCTGCGATACCAACAGGCCTGAATTTTTTTCAGGCCTTATTTTCACTACTGCCCAAGTAGTGCACATTAAATTCATACAATCTGGCTTCGGTAAGTAGGCTACTTACCACCGTGAGCAAAATTACGCGTGACGTCAGAGTTAAGTTTCGATTGGGAATTGGTCAATAGGCTTCCAAAAATTTAGACAGAGGCGGAGTTTTCTGAAGTAATGTCTGAACACTTTGTTGGCTTTTCGCCGTCTGGGGGGACGCGTAATTATGCACACGGTGGTAAAGGGCCCTTCCGCACTAGCGTCTAGACGCTGACAAAACATGTTTCTCTTCGCCAAAATCACATCAGAATTTGTCCTTGCTAAATGTCAAGTGTGCTACACGTATTAGCACCCCCGGGGGACCCCTTTACATTAGAGGGCGGGGTTGCGCGCCTGGAATTTTGAAAACGACCGCTATAAAATTATAAAAGGTGCTTAAGTCTTATCCGTGTGGGAGTGGCAACAATTAGTCTGTAAAAACAAGTCTTTATGTCCTTTTCTGTCTTTTTCAATGCTTTCCTCGCTCCTACAGAGGATTCATACAAATATGAGAGCCGTGCCGCGTTTACATTGTACAGGTAGAAAAGATCGCCCAGAATGAGTGTTTCGTTCTGTAATGAAAACCCCAATAAACTCACTCAGAAATGACTCATTTCGAATAAATTCTACGCAGGTTATTATGTGCCAACCGGTATGAACTCGTTCTTGTACAAAACTCATTCGGATATCATGTAAAAGGCCCCTAAAAGTTTTTGTTCTCAGAGCATCACGCTTTGCTCACCTGTCTGAATACTAAAAATTTCCGTAGCGTTGAACCTACAACCCGCTTTTAACTGCTTCGCTGCCGCTGAAACAACGATTAGTGAAGAAAGCACATATTTTAATATCAATTCAAAGTGCTTTATAACAGAACAGAGCACAGTCAAGGCTTCTCTATTTGTTTTATAATAAAGAATCCGTTAAATTCCCCGAGCATTACTTACAATTTTCAAAACAAACTTTATTTCCAAAGCGAAGAACAGTGTCGTCAGCATGCTCTATACTCTCATAAAGCACGCTACAATAAGCCAATCAGAATCCCTGTTAGAATGGTTCAAATAATCTGATTGGCTGTACAAGACTAAAACTGTCAAAAGTGTCAAATCATCAAAGTTCAAAAACCATCAAAGTTCACCTTCTGCGATCGTTTACAAACTAAAATAGTTCGGTAAGTCGAATTTAACACTTTTGCCTGAAGTTTTTAAGGTTCTAATACAGAAGCTTGAAGTGAAATGTTCAGTAAACTTCAGCCGAATTATGGCTCATAAAAACACGCGAGTTTTTTCACATGACAAGGTATGAAACAAACTGTTCAAGGCGAGTGTTTTTTGAATGAACGACAGCCGAATTCACCGAAACATGAAGATCGCTCGGGATACGGCAAAACTCGGCTGCAGCCGGACTTTCCACTCAACGAATCGGAAAGGATATCAGAGCAAGCTCTTATTTTTTCACTCGAAGGGCGGCCGATATAGTTTCTGAGACTTGCTTTACTGTGATGACCGGAAATCGCCATGATGAGCGAGCCGCGATGGACCTCAGCATGATCATATTCGCTCAGACACCGTCATGATTAGAATGAATTTTAACAGTTATGCCAGTTTGGTTATATTTTTCATCATTTCTGTTTTGTTCTGTTTTGTTTTTGAACACTGAACTTTAAATACTATATGAGTGTTAGCTGTGTTTGATTTTTATTTCCGTACGTTAGCTTGCAATCTAACTGAGCGTGAATTAATTTTTAAAACTCGGAATGTCTATTTTTTTTTCCTTTGAGGATTTTCGTATCTGCTCACGTTTTAATAACGTAAATTACGGCGCCTGGTATGTTTACAAACCTTTATTTGGTTCTTCTGTTGCTACTTGCCGGCTCGCGTGTTCCGAAACTTCACTTCCAAGGTCGAACATAGCACAATTTGGCAGATCGCGTGACAGCTTTAGCTCAGCTCTATGCTCTATACTCTCATAGAGCATGCTCTTTCAACCAATGACACCGCGCGTTATATCCGAACTTTATTATAAAATTCTTTAACTTATGTATACTTAGCTCTGCTACCACAGCATTGAGCACTTTATGCCAAGGTAAACTCTACCCCCACATTCATTTATATATATATATTGTGGGAGGAAAAAGACAAATAAACTACAAGTTCATCCCTACAGACCTGTTTCGTGGTTGCCCACTCATCGGGGGATTTGAAAAATCTCCTGATGAGTGGGCAACCACGAAACAGGTCTGTAGAAATCCCCTGATGAGTGGGCAACCGCGTTATTAGTTTATTTGTCTTTTTCCTCCCACAATATATATGTACATCGCTTTACTCCTATGTATTGAGCACTGTTTTAGGTAAGTCAAATTTTAAACTTTATATTTATATATATATATATATATATATATATATATATACAGCATTTACCTTTACTGTTTTCTTCATCCTTTGCTTTCGATTAGAGTGTTGTGTGGACGTACCGTCTGCCAAAGTACAAATTACCTGAGTGAATTAATTACATCACGTAAATAGCCCAGGTTTGCACCCTTGTAGCGTGGTTCCCGGGAATGCCCTTTTTAGTGTAACAACCTTCTCCGATCCAGTCCCTAAGATGCGCGGTCATTAGGGCTAAGTTGCTTGCAGAACTGAGAGGCGTTATTTAATTGCGATACTTCTTTCACTGCGACGATCAGTAAACCTAGAAATTTTTTTTTCCACACGTGTTACAGAGCACTTAGTCAGTGACAGGGCCTCTCACATTTTCAAGTCTCTGCAATATTCTGCACATTGTCGTGCTTTGTGTTCAGCGGATAACTTCCATGTTTTAGATCACGCCTCTACCAATTTTCAACTCAAAATAAAAGAGGCTATTCACATTCAAAGAGAACAACCATCCTTGAA